TGATGAATAATTTGCTGCACTTATCTCCCTTTCGTTGAAGAAACCAGGTTGCTTAGGCTCAGGCAAAGCACCTTCCCCACCCAACATAAAAACCACACTTGACATGCTCGGCCTGTCTTCTGGACTCCGTTGAACACATAGTAAACCGATATGAATTGAACGTAATACTTCAATTAGATTACAAGAATTTTCTATTAACGCGTCAATCATTTCATGCGATCTCCCTTCCATGTGCAGTCTCCATGCCTGAACAATTAAATACATGTTACTATAATAGATTATTCGTCTGCAAAAACAAGATATTAATGTAACACCTACATGCCCAAGAAGGTTAAGGTTGTGCTCGGGATGACTGAATCCTCTGTTCCTTTTCCCACTTACGATCTCTGGGACTATTACTCCGAAGCTATACACATCAGATTTTGTTGAGTAGAGACCATCAACTGCATACTCTGGTGACATGTAACCGCTGCAGGAAATTCCTGAACATTAAATCATATTCATGGGATCAAAGTCATAAATAGATAACGTATAGATATCATTTAGGAAATGCTTACTATGTTCCCACTACTTTATTTGTATTGGCTTCAGTTTCATTGCCCCCCAAAACTTCTTGCAAGGCCAAAATCTGAAATTTTAGGATTCATTTCATTATCTAATAAAATGTTACTGGCCTTCAAATCTCTGTGAATTATTCTTAGTCTTGAATCTTGATGAAGGTAAAGCAGTCCGCGAGCGATGCCATTGATAATGTGGAAGCGCTGAAATTTTTAGGATTCATTTCATTATCTAATAAAATCGTTTTTTCATTTCATTATCTAATAAAATGTTACTGGCCTTCAAATCTCTGTGAATTATTCTTAGTCTTGAATCTTGATGAAGGTAAAGCAGTCCGCGAGCGATGCCATTGATAATGTGGAAGCGCTTAGGCCAATCTAGCGCCATGCTGTGTGTTTTATCTGCCCAATATTATAACCAGCTCACCACATTTTGCCTATTAACAAACGCATAATAACAAAAGGTAGCATAATTCGAATGAAAACAGAGAAACCCTGTGCTCATCAAGCCATTTCAAAATGACAATTGATCTGGCTGTCAAAATTGACTTTTGTCCTTTGCTGAGACCATTACTGTCAGAATGGCTTATGAGGATTTGGAGCTCCTGTTATAAAAATTTTAGGTAATAAAAATTTGTGTGTTTTTGAAACAAACCGAAAATAAAGAAGTCCAAGCTTTTGTTAGGCATGAACTCATAGATCAACATCATTTCATCTTTTTGTATGCAACATCCAAGTAGTTTCACCAGATTTCGGTGTTGAAGTTTAGCAATATACACAACTTCATTCTTGAATTCAGTTGAAGTTTAACGCACCGAAAATAAAGAAGTCCAAGCTTTTGTTAGGCATGAACTCATAGATCAACATCATTTCATCTTTTTGTATGCAACATCCAAGTAGTTTCACCAGATTTCGGTGTTGAAGTTTAGCAATATACACAACTTCATTCTTGAATTCATCAACACCTTGTTTTGAATTTGTTGATAGCCTCTTCACAGCCACTTCTTGCCCGTTTTTCAGCACTCCCTGAAAATGATTTACCAATAAATAAGCAGAATCATACAATGCTGATAGTCCTAACTCCTAAGAGAACAAATAACAAAATAATACAACAAATTCAAGACTTCGTATTGTAAGTGGATCGCATCAGATTGTACCTTATAAACAGGTCCAAACCCTCCTTCTCCAAGTTTATTGATGAAGGAGAAGTTGTTGGTTGCACAAACAATAGTGCCCAGATCAAAAAGTGGTAGTTCTAGGTCGTCTTTTTTATTCTTGTTATTTGCGTTTCTTTCCAGAGTGCCTATCATTATCCCTGAAAAATTAGAACCACAAAGAATGCAAAGAATCAAGCCCATGTCTTCTTTCCATTGAACTCTGTTGACAGTAATTCCCTTGGTGCTGTGATGCTAAGTGCTGTCAGCTTAGCTTTCTTATTTCTCATGAATCGTTTTTTGTATGAAAACTCAAGAATATTTGAATGTTGAATGAATTTGTGATAGAGCTTAAATTTAGCCACAAACAAAGAGACAAACTTCTTTAAATCATGGGAAGTTAGTATTGACTTCTTTGTGGAAAGCTAGTGTAATTTGCTATATAAAGCAACCCTTGTTAATGAAAGTGTAAGAAAGAAAAAGGTGAAAGCTGAGAGTTTGAGAGGAGAGAGCTTTGTAAGAATATTAATTTATGTAGAAAAAATGAAGAAGAAAAGAAAGAAGAAAAAAAAAGATTTGTATTTACATCAACTTTGTTTTTTACTTCATTAAACTCTGCTATATTGCTTTCTCTGTTTTATCTCCTCCTCTCAATCTCCAACAAATGGTATCACATTTTAAATGATCTTTGTTGGACTGTGGTTCAAGATTTTCTTAGTAAAAATCTGCTGTGTTTGTTTTTTTATTGAGCCTCATGTTAAGCTCCATCAACTTTGTTTCTTTCTCCAACAAACTCCCATGTCCATGAGATTTGCATTACAACAGCGTAGCTGAAAAGAGACATTATACAGGAATTTAAAACAAAAGGCAATGGATGAAAATACGACATATTGTACTTCCGCTGCTTCCTTTTCCGAATAAATATTACCAACGCTAGGCTTAGGAAGATCACTCCAGCAACTGACAAAATGGCCGCTATGATCTTCGGCTATGACTTCCCATTAGTCTTTGTAAACTTATCATCTTCATATAAAAATAACGCATTCATGAAAAGGGGAAAAAATTGTGAGATAGACATTTTGATTCACAGAAGATCTAATTGCAATATCTTATTCAATTGTTTTTTAAATTCTTTCCTGTCCAAAGTTGAGTGCTTATTTGTGAATCAATTACCTGTTTCAGAAGAAGCCATCCTAATGTAAAGATCTTGCCCATCCTTAGTTAATTGTTTGATGTCAAGAAGGTCACCATACCAAAAGAAGCATCCACTCCCTCTTTTTATATCTGAAACTGCATAAGCCATGCAAGAACAATCTTTCAAGCATGACGTCTTACATTCTTCTAGCGTTAAGCTTGCATTGGTTGACCAATTTTTCGTGTCAGGCAATTTAACATTGGAGTACGTTATGAACTTGTCTCCTTTCTTGCAGTCCAACGGTATTCTTCGAACACATCCACCTATCCAGTCACCTCCATCCCAATCTTTTTCATATTTAGGCACAAATCTATCCAGACAACTACAAGTAGGTGTTTTTCTAATGTCACAAATGCCATAAACACCACATAATGCATAAGCATCACAGTCGTCTATCGGTGTAGATCCGTACGCACTCCAATTACCAGCTCGATCAAGCCATATGAACCGGCTTGTCTTACCATTAACATCCAGAACCAGCCTTGTAAAATCTGATCTGTTAACAGGGTCATCAATAACATAGCATTCTCCCTCGTTCTGGTTTAAAACAAAAGTATACTTAAAAAGCGTGCCTGGTTCCAAATAATTTATTCCACTAAATTGAACACCATTCCAAGGCCCATATCGATTCTTGACAGCTGAATTTTCTTTGATAACCCACTCTAAGGCTCTGGGATCAATCTGATATGTAAACTTTCCTGGAGAAGGATCATCTTCGCTCTTCCATGATGATAGACGTATATCCCAGCCTTTAGCTATAGTTCTGATCTTCATTCCTGGTAGAAATGTTCTGTCAGGATGCTCGAAACTTTGCCATAAGAAATTTTCTGGATTTAGATCATTTTGAGCTCCAATAACAAGATTTCCTGAATCTAAAAGCTGCACAACTGGATTAGTTATCACCCTCGATGAATTGGAAGACCAAATTATTGTATTATTCTGATTGAGCAGAACGAGAAGCCCATTGTCTTTTAACTTTAAAAGGCCAGATGAATCGGTGAGTGGGGTTTGTCTATTTGCAACCCAAACAACGGTACCGTTGGATACCTTTCTATACCACACCCCCAAGAATCGATATTTAGAAGTATAAGCGTTACTTCAGTCACAGCCTTCACACATTAAAACATCACAGCACCATTAACAAATAACCATCACAGCCAAGTACACTTAGCCAAAACCTACAGTTAGTTACGAAAGATAGATCACCCACCCCCCAAGATCGGGGATATTTAGAAGTATAAGCGTTACTTTCAGTCCACAGGCCTTCACACATTAAAAACATCAAGGGACCATTAACAAAATAACCATCACAAGCACAAGTAACCACTTAGCCCAAAAACCTACAGTTAGGTTACGAAAAAGATTAGATCATATATACTTTTGTGCTTAAAAAAACAGTTCTAGAACAGAATGAAGAAAATAACAGTTCAGAGGCATGAGGTTGAGAAATGAAGAAAATAACAGTTCAGAGCAGAGGTTGAGAATTAAAAACTCTGCTGCTTTCTTTTCATTCTTTCTACTTTTCGGTTCTCCATGATTGAGATTGTCCATTGTTTTCTCAAGTTTGCCTTATCCTGTTCACGGTATCAGGTAAATTGACTTGTCCTTGGATTTCTACAATTCAAGAGCAATTTTTTTTTTAGATTTGGTTGAACATCAATATGATGACTCCAGAAGATGTGGCAAGGCTTATCGCTGCAGTTACTAGCAAGAATCATGATTGTGATCCTTTACACGCAAACAACTCAGAATCTCCCGGATTCCGGTTGGTGAACTCTCCATTAAAAGGACCAGAGAACTATCTTTCGTGGAACAGATCAGTAATGGTAGCTCTCAGGGCAAAGAACAAGCTAGGGTTCATTAATGTTAATGAAACCATAGCTCAACCTGATCCACAGTCAGAGGAGTTCGAGAGATGGTTACAGCAGACAGCATGGTAGCCTCGTGGATAATTAACGCTGTGTCCAAGGAAATATCAGATGCATTTGTATTTTGCAAAACTGCAAAAATACTTTGGGATGAGCTAAAACAGAGATATGGAGAGTGTAATGGCCCGATGATATATAAGATTGAGAGAGGAGAGAAAATGGAGAGTGTAATGGCCCGATGATATATAAGATTGAGAGAGAAATTGCAAGTTACAAGCAAGGAAACGAGTCCGTAACAAGTTTTTATACAAATCTCTAAAGGAAATGGGATGAATTATTGTGTTTGGCACCTCTGCCTACATGTTGTGGCCAAACAAATGCAATTACAGAGTATGACAACAATAGAAGGCTAATGCAGTTTCTAATGGGACTAGGTGATGAATATGACAATGTAAAAAATCAGATCCTTTTAATGGATACGTTTCCTTCAATTAATAAAGCTTACTCCATGATTTTGAGTGTTGAGAAACAAAGAGAGGTAAACACATTGAATGTGGAATCCAGTGAAAATTCAACAATACTATTGGCTAGAAGGAACTATAACGAAAATTACAACAGCTTAGGCGCAATTGGTAACAGGAGACCATACTACAACCAAAAAGAAGATAAGAGAGACAAGTATTGCTCCAAATGCAAAATAAATGGTCACACCATAGACAACTGCTTCAAAATCCATGGATATCCGGACTGGTTTATTGAATTACAAAAGAAAAAAGGAGCCAATATGACTGGAATAAAAACGGCGAATGCAGTTCATATGGATGATACGCCTTTACAGCAGCAGCAGCCCTCACCTCTGCAGCAGCAAACTGATTATCAGATGGAACCAATTAATGCCGACATCAGGAGTGTTCACTTTGCAGGTACCTTACTCAATTCTGTCATTCATAGCATTGATTTTAACTGTAAAAGTAACTGGATAATAGACTCAGGTGCAACAGACCACATCACTGCCAATCTATCATTCTTTGATATTGTACATAAACTGAACCCTCCCAAAACCATTAGACTACCTGACAACTCTACCAGACAAGTTACTCACATTGCTCCCAAAAACCATTTAGACTAACCTGACACCATTAGACTACCTGACAACTCTACCAGACAAGTTACTCACATTGGAAACATCAAACTGAATAATAGAATTACTCTGTACAATGTATTGTATGTTCCCTCTTTCAGCTGTAACCTCATCTCAGTCAACATACTCACCAAAACATGTCATCTGTCTGTGCACTCATTTCCTGACTATTGCTTATTCCAGGATTTACAGACTGAGGAATTACTGGCAGTGGGAAAAGTGTATGAAGAACTATACTACATGACAAAAGACTCTTTCATTCCAAATAAGAACCAAAACATGATAGCTCAATGTAATAGCCACAATAAACATCTAACATTCTAGCAATGTTGTGGCACGCTAAGATTAGGCCCATATCTCTAATAAGAGATTGTGAAAAATGCTGAGTGATGTACATGACTGTGCATTTTGTGGATATGGCCATGGTCCTGTTTGGTCCTATTGCTTAAACCAAAACCAAATTACCCTTTTTCCACTAGCCAAATAATTTTCCACCTTAAAGCCTTTTGAGATTGTGCATATAGATTTATGGTGGACCATATAGAGTTTAAATCTGTTACAAAAATTGGCAGTGTATATGTTGACCTTGGTGAGAATGATTACAAACAGATATTCTGGACCTACATTGCTAACAACAAAGATTTCAAGTACCATTTATGCCTTAAAAATTCCTTTTACCAAAACTAATCTTAACCCCAATTTTCAACAACATATCAGATCTTCAGATCTGATAATGGCTCAGAATTCACCAAATTCTGAATGTCAGAAAGGTTTTTTTACTTTGACAAAGGCTAATTTATTTCACCAAAGAACTTGTGTTGTATACCCCTCAGGCAGGAATGGAGTAGTGGAAAGGAAACACAGAACCTTAATGAATATTGCTAGAGCTATATTTCACCAAGCCAAATTCCCAACCCAATTCTGGTCTGAAACCTTGTTATCTGCCACCTACATATCCAATAGAGTCCCTTCTGAAAACCTTGAATCGAAAACACCCTATGAAAAATTATATCATAAACCACCCGATTATTCTCACTTTAGAGTAATTGGCTGTTTATGTTACTCAACCAATACCCTGCCACACAAACTGAAGTTTGAGCCCCGAGCACATCCTTGTGTCTTCCTTGGTTATTCTCAACAACATAAAGGGTATAAATTGTACAATCTGGGTATAAATTGTACAATCTCAGTACCCAAACCTTATTCCATTCCAGAGATGTGATTTTTATTGAAACCACCTTCCCTTTTCATCACAAAACACCTGAAACCATAACGAATTTCACACTGCCAGTTTGTATTTCTGATGCATATCTATCTCCAATTTCATTTCCTACAACAACACTTGATGTTTCTCCACACAACTCACTCCAACACACTTCACAAATCACAGAAAATGTTCCAGATCCGCCATCTTCAGATTCTACAACATCTATTCTGTCCCCACAAGACCCATCACAGCCAAATCAACAAATCAACCCAGCCAATACGCACCCCAACATTCCCGACTCATTATCAACAAATCAAACTCAAGCTCCTGTTTTAAGAAGAACCCAAACATACACCAACTGGCTACAAGACTTTGTGGTTTCTACCTCTTCCTTACCCGTCAAACACACTCCATTTATTTTCCAACCCTCACATCAAACTTTGTTTGCACATGTTTTCTAAAATCAAGGAACCTTAGCAGGCTATAATTCAAGCTTAAAAATGATAAAAAATTGGAGATGCCATGCATATAGAGTTAACTACTCTTGAACATAATACATGGACACTACTGATTTACACCTCATGTAAAAACCTGTGTGGGATGTAAGTGGATATACGGATAAAGTATTAAATCAGATGGAGCATTGACAGATACAAGGCCGGACTTGTGGCGGAAGGCGTTACAACCAACTGCTGGGGGTCTCGATTACAACCAGGAGCCTTCTCTCTGTGGCGCCAAGTTAGTAACTGTCAGAGTTATTCTTAACTGTAGGCAGCAAACTAAAACCTGGGCCTGTTCACCAACTGGATATCAAACAATGCCTACTTTGCCCATGGGGAATCCCCCATTTTGATGAAACTATTTATTATGCAAGTACCTCCAGGTTATAACAAAGTTCACAAAGGTCAAGTATGGAATTACAGAGGTCTTCTCTATAGATTTGAAGCAAGCAGGGAGACAATGGATAAGGAACTTTTTCTGCCAGCTTACTTTCTCAAGGGTTTCCAACAGTCCATGTTTGATAACTGCTGTCACAAAGGGCAAAGGAGAATTTTTTCTGCCTATTTCCGGTTCTATGTTGATGATTGCTTATAACGGACCATCCGAAAAGGCTCATTTCAGGGACCTCAAAGACTATCTTCACCAGTAAATTTACTATAAAAGATTGGGATACGCGAAATTATTTTCTTGGAATTGAAATTTGCCATATCACATGAAGGGCATTTCTTCTCACTCAACACCAAGTTCATCACAGATATTATTACAGATTTCTGGATTGCAGGAATTGCAAAACCAGCCCTAGTCCTTTCATTCAAGGGATGAAGCTCAGCTTCCGACATGGGATTCCCCCTCTTTTTTTTCAAAACTCCGGATGTTTTTCTGAAGACTTGTTGGGTAGACTTCTCTATATTATCACTAACTAGACCTGATATAGCTTCGCTGTCCAGCAGCTAAAGTCAGTTCATGCAAAACACCTGCTCAACACAACACTCCTTAAGGCTGCTCTTTACAAGTTTATTATCAGAAGTATTTGAAGGGCCACCTAGTTTATAGAGGTCTATTCCTGTCGTTTCCAAAATTGGACATGAAGTTAGGGCCTTTTTCTAGTTGCAGACCATGAAGGGCGTCATGTACTGATTACCCAGACAAATCTACTCACGCGGCATACTGTATTTTCCTAGGCACTGCTTTAGTGCTTCCTGGAAAAATCAACAGAAGAGAAACAAACCACCGTAAGCAGATCTTTCTGTAGGAAAATATGTGAATTAAACCCGATCATGTACAAAACAGTTTTGGTGAGAATCAAAATGGCTTGCACTCTTCTTTCGGACTTTCACGAATACCAAACCCTAAACCTATACACGCCAAGCGCAGAGTTGCCAGGGAAGATTTGTCTTTCCACAAACTCGAAAAAAAACTGCAGAATTTCAGAGATTATATTCGCTGTTGCCAAACCCCTTTTAAGTCTTTTACAGTGGAAAGAGAAAAATACTAATAAAAAAACTTAAACGTTGTGGTAAGTCAAATCTTGGACATGATAAACAAATAGTTGAAATACAAAGATTACCCTTCAATTTGATTTTTCTTTGTTCCACTTTGTTGGTCATTCTAAAATTAGCAAAATTAAAAAAATACAGTATAATATAGCTAAACCATGAAGGTTCAAAACAATTTGCAGTCTGTGCAAGTCGCGT